CCCCCCCCCCCCCAGATCAGGATGCAGAATTTTAACTAAATAAAAACAAGCACAACAGCAGGACCCCCCTCCCTCCCTCTCCCACCTCCTTTCATTTCATCTTTTGGGCATGGAAGCACCAAGGCCACCCATCCCCCCAGACTAAATCGGATATTTCTTGCCTGATTCCCCAGATAGGTATGTTGCAATTTAGTCTCCTAGCCCTTCAAAAATTAGGCTAATACAAAACAAGTGTTTTTTTGATTCTTGCATTGGAGCGGCAGACTCGGATGAATTATTCTAACCAAAGAATTCTCCTGTGTTTTAATTTCATGCCCCCCTCCTCCCTTTGACGGCTGCTTGAGGTTGGTGCTCTTTATTTTTTTAAAAGAGTGAGAAGATTTTAATTCGGAGCTTTCCTTTTAATTCAGAGATTTTTTAAATAAAGAATCCTCGGGTTTCAGTCTATATAAAGGGGGAAATAACCGAGATTCATTCCTGATATTTTTGTTTCTTGGGAACCAGAAATGCTGGCTTAACTGGCTTGCTTATTAAACCAGAATCTTTGTAAAACCTGGATTCCTAGTTTGTTTGCAACAGCATGCCTTGGGTTGATCAGAATTCCTCCCTCCCCTTTTTCTTCTTCTTCTACTTCAGGAAAAGATTAGAGGATTCTTATTTGCTGGACCACATAATCCTTCAGAATGAATCTCCCTTCAATAGTGGGAATCTGCTTAGTGACTTAAAAAAATAAAACTTTTAGGAGTCTGGCTGGACCAAAGGTGCTTTACAAAAGAAAACTGGACTTTCTTAATTTTTTTCCCCCTTGAAAATGTGTCACTTCTCATCCAAGAAGTTCTGAACTGAGGAAGCTTCTTGGATGAGCAGTGAAATGTTTTCAAGGAAAAAAAAGAAACCCAAGCCAATCCAGTTGCCTTTTGAAAAAAAAGCACTTTTGGAGCAACCATGACCTGAAGGGTTGCGAATCTCCATAGACAAATTCTTAGCTGAAGTTTTATAAAAACCAGCCACATTTACCCAAAGGCTGAAACATTTGAGTCTGATAGCTTCATTCAGTGGGAACTGTCTGTAAATTGGGAATTGGGGTTATTTTTTGGAAAGCAGCAAAGGAGAGTGAGTGAGTGTGAAATAAAGGAGACGGTTTTTTTTTTTAAAGGATAAGCAATAAGCTACTGCATTGTGGAGAGCTTCCAGAAAAGATATATATATATCCCTCTTACTCTAAGCCTTACTCTAAAACGATCCCATTTGTGCATATTTCAGCTCTATTGCAATTGAGAAGATATTGGTTAAAAGTCAATGTTAAGACGTCATTCCCAAAAAGCGGTTGCAAGACTTTTCTAATACATGTGGAGTATTTCTCTCTGAACTATGTTTTCTAAATTTTTGTAAACAATCCAGATTTCAGTAAGTGCTCAAATTAGTTCTAAGCTCTTCTTTTTTCCTGTTTTTTTTTTTAAATAAATCTTGTATTGTAGCTTATTAAGTCTGTCATGGATGGAGGTGTTTTGAAATGAATTTTGTGACTTGGTGTGTGTACATAAAGTGTATAAACATTTTACACGAATCATTTAGTTTTTTATTCATTTATTAGTGCTATAAAAATTTTTCATATGCTGTAAACTGTACCTGGACAAAAATGCTTTAATATGAAACTGTGTTCCTGTATCAATTTATATGGGGAAGACTTCGGTATGAATATAAATGGAGTTATGAAAATATGTCTCTGCAATTATTTGCTTGAAGTTGAATCAACAGCTGAATTCCTTGTGAAGCTAAAATCCACTCCTCATTTTGCAAAATGCATACAGGAAGACTCTTGTATTTCAAACAATGTGTGTTTGCTAGCAGACTATTCTAAAGCTCCTATTATTTTTTAAATAAAACAGATATAATAAAATAACTGGAGATTTCTAATGGTTGTGCTCTGGGTAACGAACACTGCATGAGCTAAATACCTAGCAACAGCGTTTGAGGTCCCTCAGACCATCTGGAGAACATAGAGGCTATGAAAAGACTTCAGAAGAAGCAATTTGGACAATGGGAAAAATCACCACCTCTCCGCTACTCATTAAAGCAGCCTATTCAACCAACATGTTATCCATCTATTGCCCCAACTACTTCCCCTGAAAATCCGTATAGTTTCTCAGTTCCAGGTCATGGTTGCCCAAAAGTGCTTTTTCAGGAGGCAACTGGACTTTCTTGTTTCTTTCTTTTGAAGACGTTTCGCTTCTTCATCCAAGAAGCTTCTTCAGCTCTGACAGGATAGTGGGGGAAATGGAAGAATTTATATTCCTTGCAGGCAGCTGGTCATTCGCATCCTTTTCGTGGATTGTTGAAGCACTTGGAGGTTTATCTATGTCCTCAGGGTCACCTGAGTAGTGCTAACAGTTCCTGTAGTCTGCCATTTTCCCTCTGGAAATCCATTCCTACTCCCACACCATTCCAAGAATGTTCATCCCAAATTGTATAGCTAAAAGTCCGTAGAGAGTCTCAGTCATCCAGGTCATGGTTGTCTCAGAGGTGCTTTTGCAGGAGGCAACTGGACCTTCTTGTTTTTCCTTTGAAGATGTTTCACTTCTCATCCAAGAAGCTTCTTCAGCTCTGACAGGTTAGTGGGGAATGGAAGGATTTATATTCCTTGCAGGCAGCTGGTCATTTGCATCCTTTTAGAGTAGGGGTTCCCAACTGGGGAGTGCGAGGCGATATTCCAGGAGGTGCAAAAACTTGGATTTAGAAGTTTCACAATTATAGCGGATATGTATAATTATATGCATATAACCATTTTGTAAGAGGTGCAAGAATAATATATTGTGAGCATTCTAGGGGTGCAGGTAGGGTATATAAAAGGTCAGGACCCCCCATTTTAGAGGGTTATTGAAGCACTTGGAGATTCCTCTTGAGAGCAGCTGCTGCCAATGTTTAGGGTTGAGGATGTCCCTACCCTGGGCATCTTGAGTGACTTCTGGAGCTGCTTCCCGATTTTCAGCAGTGAAGATTTGATTGCTGTAGCATCTTTTGAACCATTTCTTTTGGGCCTCTCTTGATGCAGAATTTGCAGGATTCTCCCTAAATGTAAGTGTGTTCTAGGGATCCAAGCACACCTGTTGGAAGGGAATAGCTCTAGTTGCCTGCACACTCCTGGGAGGGTTTTAAGACACAACCTCTTAAGGCTAAAAATTAAACCCCTTCTCAGGGGTCGACCTGTCAGGCCTACTTCAAACTGGGAAGGAGACGTGATTGAGAAGATGGAGGAAGCTTCTGCCCTAAGGCAGCTTGGCTTTGGAGTACCTGGGAATTTGGCTCCATTCCTCCTTGGCCATGAGTACAGCCAGCCTTGCCCTATAATCCTTGTGAAAAACCACACCTTCCTTCTGTTGGGTAATGTCCATTTGCTCTTTCAACTTTTAAGGTATTTCTAAATGTATTATTTATCAAATTTATATTTGGCTTGCGGTTTTTTTCCCCTCACCACAATCCTTTTCACTTGATCATTCCATTTTTGGGTGCCGTATTCCTCATTCAGAATATTGCATAATTTCCCCCTCTGGCTCTTAACCCTATCATCACCAGCAAAAAGGTAATATGCAATGATCATCACCCATGTATTCTTCGATTGACATCCACAGCAATCTTTTTAAAAAAAATTAATTGAAAATAAACATTTAAAAGTATTGAACGTGGTGAATTTTCTTTGACAT